ATTAAATAATGTTACTAATATCTTAACACTTAACAATATGATAAAAATATTGTTAATAGTAACTTAACAGATTAAAATATTTTTATCATATTTTTATCATATAATAGTTATACGTATAACTATCATATGATAATCATAAATGGCAAAAATTCAAGTTTCTGCTAAGTACTGCCTCAATATTATTTTTCAAATATTAAACTCGGATTTCATACTTGAGTTCTTAATTTAATAGCTTCGAACTTTCAATTTGACAATATATTAATCTTCGGAAACTTTTTCAAGTTAGCTAGAAATTACTGTACACGTTCAATTCTTCAATTGCCAGTACCAGAAACGGAGCGACATGTAATATTACGAAGTATATGAAAACATTTTCTATGGCAAAATCTCAAATTCATTAAACGCACTTAAACATCATGATGTGTATCGCATACTATCATATTTATATCGAATGGGGTCATATGTGAATTTTCGATATACTGCGCCAGAAATACTTTTTTTATAAATTGCTAAAACTTTTTACAGAAAATTTTTTTTAAAAAAATTGACTAATAACTTTATACATACTGCTGAGCTTTACAAAGTTATCGGTTAGTTTTTTTAAAAAAATACTTCTATAAAGAGCTATGTCGATTTTAAAGATTGTTCTTTTTTTCAAATCGCTATAACTTCTTATAGAAGAAATCTTTTAAAAAAACTGACCGATAACTTTATAGAGCTCAGTTCAATACATTAATTTTATTGGTTAATTACAATCACGAGAAAATTTCTCGTGATTGGCGATTATAGATTTCCAGCTTCTCATGCTATAGACATATGCCGTGTAACATAGATCAATTATTTGCTTATGACGCTCCGAACCTCAGTTACTTTTTTGAAGATAACAATGATAACGATAAGCTACGATACCAGTTTGACTACAGTTGTGGTACAATTATATAAACTTGGATTAACAGATGTGTTCCGTTTGACCTTTATCGAATTATGGCATCCCAGAAGGGTACTGATAAAGTGTTAGAAAAACTTAAAGAGTCGGTTGAAAATGGAAATTATTATGAGGCACATCAAATGTACCGCACCGTCTGTAGAAGGTAAATTATACCAACAATGAACAGCTATGCATTGTGACTGACTTTAAAATTTTGAACATATTTGTCAAACCGCTTGTTGTGCTCAAGTGTTCTAACAATAATTGTCAAATGGGACTTATTAATTTAATGTATATTCTATCTCTTTTATAGATATATCAAGCAAAAGAAATTTAGCCGTGCCATAGATCTTCTGTTTTCTGGAGCTCAAACCTTGCTTAAACATAAGCAAACTGGTAGTGGTGTAGATTTATCATTGTATTTAATTGACGCATACAATGATGAGGAAATGGCCGTTAATGATGAATCTCGAGGTTTTTGATTTACGAATTTTTTTTTTAACTATATATATAATCTTAATAATAATTCTTCTTATTTCAAAAGCTCGGATCATTCAACTACTGTTACTTTTCCCATCGGATGAACCTGGTCGAAAAAGGTTTATTGATTCAGCGGTCAGGTGAACACCAATCATTTTTTTTGTGCGTTAATTCTTCAGCACGATCGCACCTTTACTCGGTTTTAGAGCATCAAAGTCACATGCATTTTTTTCATATTAGCTGGTCTGTTAAATTTGGTGAAAATCCTGCTGGTGATCCAGAACTACACCATTCAATCGCTGAGTTATTACATAAGGGTATAATATTTTACTACCTTTAATAATCATTACATTCACTACTATCAAGATCTGCATGCTTAGAATTCTTACTTTTTTCTAATTTGTAAAATGTCCATTTAGACAAGATGTATTCTGAAGCTGAGCCTCATTTTCTCGCGGGGACAACAGAAAGCAGTAAAGCATATGGGAAAATGTTATTAGAATGGTCAGAACAAGATCATCCTTCTAAAAAAGGAGCCTATATCTCTCGCGCAGTATTGCAGTATGTCTTTCAGATCATTTGGTATTTCTTGATTTTTCGTAAATTCTTTCAGTTATAAAACGTTATTAACAATTGTAGATATCTTTGTCTGCGGAGCATTCGTGATGCGAAGTTTGCATTTGATTCTTTTGTCATGGATTTGAGTGAGAAAAATCCGGAAATAAAGTCTGGAGCTGCACAATACAATCCGACTATAACTGGAGATGCCGTTGATGTAACGATTTATTCGATACCTTTACTGAATTTTTTACAATTATTGATTCTTACTGTACAAAGGGAAGCAAGCGATTTATTTGGCGATTTACGAAACAGATATAAAAGTGCCTTGTCTGTTGAGCCTTCTTTCGAAGAAGTGGGTATTTTTTTTAAAACCCTCTTTATTGTCAAAGTAAAGTTCTAATCATTCCAAATTTTTACATAGCTTTTAAATAAGATTGGAGAGGTATTTTTCAACATACGTGTACAACGACCACAACAATTCAATATCTTTCAAGATCTTGTAAACAGCTTATTCACTTCAGGACCCGGAACATCATCACCTGGTAGTACCTCATATACTAGAGCTAATTCTCAAAGCGAGTTGGATTAGTCTGTAAAATTATGATTAATGATTTCCATGTGTGTATTCGAAGTAGGGCTTAACACGGAAGCAGTAATTTATATTACACACGCTTTAATTATTGTATAATCATTTAATTGATTTGTTAACTTATTATTTATTTGTATAAATATTAGAAGTTTTTTTTTTTGTGAAGTCAATCTTCAGTATATCATTTAACTAGACTATCAGAAAACATTAATAAATTTGTTCAAACCCAGTTAAACAGATAGTGCTTTTATTTAGTCGATTTTTTTTCTTCACCGGTTAAAACAACCGGAGTGTTAAAACCTACGGGTAGGTGCAATTACAATACTAATTTCTCCGAAGTTTCAAGACATCAGTTTTTAAAAAAGGTTAGTGAATAATCCAAATTTGACCATACGTACCTAATCAATTATAGATAATATGAGAAATAGAATAAAATAAATGCTTTTGTTAAATACAGTTAGACCTAGTGATGGGCAACGCGCGTGATTGGTACGACGAATGCTGCTAGCACTGTAGTAGACCCGATAAATTTAGAGATTTGAAAACCAGTTGACTGATTATCTATCCCGCGAATCATGCGCGGAATCAGCGGTTTGCCCATCATCAGTCAGACCTCTCTATATGCAATTTCATGCTTAAATCTACTATATATATATATATTATACAGTATATAGTACAGTCTACCCTCGTTTATATCAACCCATTTGAATTGGTTTAAATTCATGTTGATAGTTGATATTAACAAGGGATTATATTCAGGCCTGCCGAAAAATCAATTAAAATTAATTTTTGCTATACGACATAAAATCATCATAATAATTGCAATTAAAACCTGATCTTTTAAACAGCGAAAATCAAAAATCATATCGTACATAAAATTGCAATTAATTGACCAATTGTGACTGCGCCACCAATCAATTGAAAAATTACGGGTAACCTGTTGTGTAACTAAGTAAAAATGCTCATCTCGCAATTTTTTATAAAAAAACTATATTTGATAGTACGGCTACATGTAGCCTATGGCTACAAATAAATTAATTCAAAAAATTTATAGTAGATTTTACCAAGAAAACCCCAATTTTTATTATAATTTTAGTTGGTAAAATTTCTGTTCGGAGGTCCAGACCTGTAACGAGTCCCCTGCATTAATGTTCAGGTTTACTTTTCAGACTTGTGGTACCCTTGTAATATAATAACAAAGAAAAAACATTCTTTTAAAATGACGAAAAAGTAATTTATAAGACGACGATATGTATAATAATTCATTGGCATCTGGCGTAGAATAATATATCACAATTAAATGTTCACATTGGAAACTTAAGGTTGTTATTTAAATGAAATAAACTTAAATTTAATAAAATGACTGATTATTAAATTATTCCGATAGTGACAATTGTTAAGAAAATTATTGAACCTAAGAAAAAGTGATCATAAAAATTAATTTTTATTAATCGAACAAATAAAATCAAGATCATAAGACTAAGGATCCAACCACTTAGGGCTTTAAAAAAAATAGATCAACTCTTGCTGGAATCGAACCAGTGGTATCAAAGTCTTAAGACTAAGAATCCAACCAATTTAGGGTCTTGAAAAAAAATAAAGTTTTCACATGACGCCAGAATCATTCAACAATTATAGCGTCAAAACTTCGGAAAGTTTTTTACAAAAGACAAAACAATAAAAGGAAAATCCTATACGTTTAAAAAATGGGCTGTCTTCAAGAAATCAGTTCAAACAAATATTTATACGAGTAAACTACAAACCAAAGACGATGATTTTCTGTGATTCACCGAAAACCGCGGAATTTCTCTTAACACTGCCAACCACAAAAATATCACAGAATTCTAAAAAGTAGCGCAGAATATCACAGAATTGACCACAAGTTGTCCGGGAAGGTAGACGTAGATTTGTCGGGGAGTTACGGAATTATGTTTTGGAAAAATTTAATCGCATTAAATAACTAACAGGTAAGAACGTCCCAAATATGGAAAATAGTTACACAAATGTTGAATGATTGTCACATGCCAAACAGCCAATC